GATATCGTCCTCTTTTGGAAGGCCAAACAAAGTAGTTTCGCTACTTTCACACAGCGCCTTCTTCATGACATGGCGGCGGCAACAACAATACTACAGCGAGGATAAAAGTTACGCCTTCTTTCTTTGCTTGAACATTTGGGCGGTGTTATGCAAATCTTCGCACATCGTGACGTAGACATGTGGGGCGTGTTAGAACGAGCCGTTTTAGGCAGGCGTGGTTGACTCTTAACTTTTATAAAGAATATCTCTTTGGATTTGAGACTTTAGTCTTTGCAACTTTACAGATCTTCTTTATGCACCAAGAGCTTGTAACACTCCAAAGAGAAAGGAACAATTGAAATCGCATCATATGACCCCTTTAATATCACCGTTTTAAATACATTAAGGCATTTTAAGTGTTTTTCACCATGTTTTGTCACGCTGTTTAGTGATTGAAGTATTGCAGTGGGTGCATATAATATGGATTGCAAATGGCCAAAACTTGCATTTTGTTCACATATCTGTGTTTTATTCTTTCGAGAGGTGATCTAAATATTTGCAGCTTGGTAACAGATGGAAAACTGATAGGCTTGTGCTGCAGTTCTATGGATGTTTTGCCCTCCAGGACTTCGAGCTGGTCGGTGTTCTGTTGATTTGTGTTACTTCCCATTAAAACAGTGGGTAGTACAATTCGACTATGAAAAATGCTACCTGTCAAATTATGGTTTATTAACATCTACATCTACACCTACCCCAACCCTAAACCTACCCTTACAGCAATGCAAATACAGTAATTATGTGTTATTCAGGGTTGTGGCTAGAAGGGATACAGCTACGGCTGGAAACCAACAATAAATTAATTTTTCTAGCTATTAGATTGTGTTTTAGGACCATCTGACGGGTAGGATAATCAAGTCAAGTCAAGTCACCTTTATTTATATAGCGCTTTATACAATACTGATTGTGTCAAAGCAACAAAGCAGCTGCGCTACTTTCTGAAACGCATTTAAATGATTTAAACAGCCATTCAGAGCAGGCTGTGTGCATTTTACTGTGGACTGACTGTTTTGAAACTTATAAGGTAGTTAAATAGCCCCTAGACCTCAGTTATCATGAAAAAAGCCAGGAAATTTCAGTTTTGACAATATGGGACCTTTAATCTGGTCAACAATATGCCCTAGATATTGTTTGAAAATGTTTAGATTCTTTATTGTTTGGTCGCACTTTAAATTAAGGCTCTATTAGTTAACATTGGTTAATTCCTTAGTAAACATAAACTGCCAAAGAACAATTCTTCTAAACATTCATTAATCTTAGGTCATTTCAATATTTAATAACACATTGTTAAAATCAAAAGTGTATTATTTTAATGAACCCGAGCTAACGTGAACTAACAGTTTTATTTTTTAACAAAGATGAATAACTTCTGTAGGAAATGTAGTTATTGCTCATTGTGAATGTTAATGCATTAGCTAAGGTTAACTGATGAGATCTTATTGTAAAGTGTTTATAATACTTTTGCACTTTAATCTGTGTGAAATGTTTTACTTTATACATTTTTTGTGTATTGCTTTGTTGTATTTAAATGTTCAGTTCCTTCTGTTATAAGAAAAAAAGCTGTTAAACCTGTTATACTGTATTACATTTACATTACATTTAGACATTTAGCAGACGCTTTTATCCAAAGTGACTTACAAATGAGGACAAAGCAATCAAAATCAACAAAAGAGCAATGATATACAAGTGCTATAACAAGTCTCAGTTAGCTTAAGCTTTTTAAATTATATAATAAAAAGGAAACAGATAGAATGAGAATAGAGCAAGCTAGTGTTAGAGGCCTTTTTGGCTTTTGTTTATTGTATAATAAATAAAAAGAAAACAAATAGATAGAATACAAAAAGAATAGAGGAGCTAGTGTTAGTTTTTTTCTTTTTAGTTTTTTAAAGAAACCATCAGTTAGTAAACGAATAGAGTGCAAGTCTAAAAGGGGCAAGTTTTTTTTAAATAATAGAATTAGAATAGAGTGCTAGAGTTAGAGGGTCAAATAAAGATGGAAGAGATGTGTTTTTAGTCGATTCTTGAAGATGGCTGAGGACTGGGATTGAGTTGGGCAGGTCATTCCACCAGGAGGGAACATTAAAGGTCCCATATTGTCAAAAGTGAAAATTCCTGGCCATGATATTTTAAGCTCCTTATGTAGCCGAACCTGCGCTGGTTTGAATGGGCTAGCGCTGTAACGTCGCTGACCCTAGTTACCTGTGGTTGGCCTGGCCGTGCGTCACTCAGAACACAACAGGCCAATCAGAAGAGAGGCTCATGAATATTAATTAGACAGGCCAAAATCGACCTGTTCTCAGCAGAGCTCCTGAGAGAGGAGCTGTAAAAATATATTGAGATGGTTTTTGGTACTTATACCGCAAATATATATTCTTAAGGACATCAAAACCTAAAATAAAACTCCAGAAAGGTGCACAATATGTGACCTTTAATGTAAAAGTCTGTGAAAGTGTTATGACCACTTTTTTGCAACTACATTTCAATACCGTGATAATACCGTATACCGGGATAAAAGCATTAGCAATTAATCGCAACGTGAAAAGTTGATATTGTTATATGCCTAGTCAGGACACCGGTCACCTGACTCAAAGCTACGAGTTAACCCTCCAGAGTCTGCAGTCTGTGATTCTGAGAACAGCGTGACAACAAGCCCCAGATATACGATCCACTGAAAGCACTCGGTGACATCACCCGCTCCGGCATTCCCGCATTCCCCGGACCGTAACAGACACTGGGGCATTTGTTGACATCAGCACTCAGAATAGGCCCCTGGATTAGACCCCGGCGCTGGGGAAGCTGGGATGCTTCACTCTTCACCACTTTCTGATCGGCAGATGATTTGCTTTCCAGGGTTTCGCAGCTGCAGATATCCGGAGGATTATTATTCCGAGCGCTATCCAATAACAAAACGAAAATCCCTGGACACGTCCCTCTGTCCCTGCAGGACAGACTTGCAGGACTAACACAGGAGGCTTGAAGCGGAGGACAACTCAAAACGCATTAGTGGCTCTCTGAGAAACGATAGTGTTTCAAGATCTCGTCTCGTGTTTTAAAAAGCAAAAGCGTCCTGTAGGTTAGCCAGAGGGTGCATTCCTTTCGGTTGCAATGAGCGGAGACACATAATCCACATCTACTGCAGCAGCAGCTCGTTCTTCAGCGCTGGCATCATCTTCATCCACCGACCGTTATTGATGTGCACTTATGCAACCCATCTAAAAGTAGATGTTTACAATCGGAGCATTTCAATTATGCACCTACTTTAAAAAGCCTAAGCTGCTTCAGCATTAGTAATGTGGCCTTTTTATTCACGTCCTGTGTGCTTTTCTTTTGCATTTTCTTGTTTTTCAGAGACTAGACTATAATCATGAATCTCATGGAAAAATATCAAAAATTTCACCACCAAAAAATAAATGAAATGTTAAAAACTTTTAAGAAAAACAATAAATAATAAAATCATATATATAAGAAAAAAATAAGGAAATAAATATATAAAAATTATTTTAAAAAAAACATAATCCTATATATAATTACTGTAATGATTCTTTATTTTAACTGCAAAGTATTGATACATCATTGAAGTACTTATTGTACTTTAATAAAATTGCTGATTTAGATAATTTATCATCACTAATTATTTATATTTATTTAAATAATACTTATGTGCCATAAACAGTGTGGCCAAAATAAAACTGAAACGAAAATTTATATATATAAAAAAAAAAGTCAGGATACATTACAGTAAAGACGATTTGGAAAGAAAAGAGTGCAGTGACTCGTGGGGAAGTCGCGGAGTCGTTCGAGGAGCAACACACGGGAAATTCAACGGAAAGGAATTTGTTGTGATAGCGTGACGTCCCGTGTTTACACGCAAGAGCGTCACGCAAACATGTGATCTGACACACCGATACGTACATCTACTGTCATTCAGCTCAGAGCAAAAAATAATAAATATCCAACTCTATTTACTAAAGCTTGACCGAATGTAAAACACACATTTTTGCTTTTCAACCCACACAATACCAAAAAAAGACAGAAAAGAGTGAGTTTGTACGAGAAACAGGCCACACATCAGGTTTATTTATAATCTAAAAGACAAAAATACAAAAGAAAAACCAGTCAAAGTATTAATTCAGACAATAATGAATCATCTGTATGAGCTGTAAATGACATTTAGCAAACACTGTAATTTCTGCTCAGATTCAGACTTGGAACGGTCCGTTTTCACGAGGTTTGGAAAGCGTGTTGGAGAATCCCGACAGAAGTTTCATTCCTCTGAACGCCACAAACTCAGAGTCCGAGTGGAAGAGGAAATCTCCTCAGATCTTGCGTTTCTTCCATTCGGGCTGATCTTCATCGACCTCTTCTTCCTCCTCCTCGGCGAACAGCGGCTCCGGCTGCGTTCTGTCAGAGAAAAACACGTCATGAGACACATTCAGATCTCACACAGCGCTCAATCAACACAAAACATGATCTGCGGCCCTCTGACAGCGAGGATGATGGGAGATTAATCCAGTTCCCTACTTTCAGTCAGATCACTGATTAAAATACAACATCTGCTGTGAGTCACAGAGGAACACCGACACACACACAGACACACAGACACACACACACTCTCTCTCTCTCTCTCTCTCTCTCTCTCTCTCTCTCTCTCTCTCTCTCTCTCTCTCTCTCTCTCTCTCTCTCTCTCTCTCTCTCTCTCTCTCTCTCTCTCTCTCTCTCTCTCTCTCTCTCTCTCTCTCTCTCTCTCTCTCTCTCTCTCTCTCTCTCTCTCTCTCTCTCTCTCTCTCTCTCTCTCTCTCTCTCTCTCTCTCTCTCTCTCTCTCTCTCTCTCTCTCTCTCTCTCTCTCTCTCTCTCTCTCTCTCTCTCTCTCTCTCTCTCTCTCTCTCTCTCTCTCTCTCTCTCTCTCTCTCTCTCTCTCTCTCTCTCTCTCTCTCTCTCTCTCTCTCTCTCTCTCTCTCTCTCTCTCTCTCTCTCTCTCTCTCTCTCTCTCTCTCTCTCTCTCTCTCTCTCTCTCTCTCTCTCTCTCTCTCTCTCTCTCTCTCTCTCTCTCTCTCTCTCTCTCTCTCTCTCTCACACACACACACACACACACACTCTCACTCACAAATAAATACACACACACTCACTCACACGCACGGATAAATACACACACACACACACACACACTCTCTCGCTCTCACTCACACACACTCACAAATAAATACACACACACACTCACTCACACGCACGGATAAATACACACTCACTCACTCACACACACACTCTCTCTCTCTCTCTCTCTCTCACACACACACACTCTCTCTCACTCACAAATAAATACACACACACACTCTCTCTCTCTCTCTCTCTCTCATACACAAACACGGATAAATACACACACACACACTCTCTCTCTCTCACACACACACACAAATAAATACACACACACTCACTCACTCACTCACACACACACACACACACATAAAT